TCCGCGCCCGCGCAGCGCGAGCACAAAGCGGGGCCGGGCGCGGGGGGCGCCGCGCGGCGGGGGGAGGCGGGCAGCGCGGGGCCGCGCGCGAGGCTCCGCGGTCGGGGGCGCGCGCGCGGCGCGGCCACGGGGAGCCCAGCAAGATGGCGGCGCGTGGAGCGCGGCCCCCCGCGGGCGCGGGGCCGCCCCCCACCTCCACCCCACTATTTTATTATTTATTTTTTTTCCCTCTTTTTTATTTTTTATTTATTTATTTTTTTTTTCCTCCAAGCGAACCAGGCGATGCCGGTGCCTCCGCCGCGCGCAGTCCGGGAGCGGCGCGGGCGGCTCCCTCCGCGCTCCCCCCTGTTTACAAACACAGCTGTTGCAGGATATTTGCAATGCTAAGGACAGAGCCACCAGCAGCGAGGAGCAAACGAGAGATGGTGCCGGAGAGGGGCTCTCGGCATCTGGAAAGGACAGGGCGCCTTGTTTTTGAAACTGTCAATTCTCTCAACCCCTATTGTGAGAGCCTCATGCAAAACATCTCGGGCCTTTTAAAGCTGGGGCTTGTGAGGCCGCCTCAGATTGAAAAGGCGAGCGGGGGAGAGAGAGGCCTAGGGCATGGCAAATAATTATATCAGAACAGTCAAAAAACGCAACAGAGAAGGCCTAAAAATCAGCTAACTGCGGATCCATGTGTCCTTCCCCCTAATATTTGGGAAGTGGCCTGCGCTGAGCACACAAAGCTCTCGGGCTGCGCTGGCATCAGGAATCCCACGCCCAGCCAAGGAGCTGCTAAATTGCACTTTCCTTGAGCGTGGTTTAGGGCTAAATACCAGGGGAGGCTTGTGAAAGGAGAATGTCTGTAAGTATGGCTTTAGCAAGGTAGATGCCAGTGCCTTGGACCTTTATTTTATTTCATTTTCTAGCTAATACTTTATTTTTTTTTCCATGTAATTGACCTTCTTTTGTACTTTGAGGCTGACCGAATAGATTTTAGGGTGAGCCATGACATATTCCTCCCAGTAATCATCCTAACCATAGAAACCACAATTAACAGCGTTATCTATATTTCATTTTCTCTAACGCACTGCATATGTATTTTCCTGCAGATTACCACCGTGCATAGGAAATTCCGCTTTTTTTACACCTCTCTGTCTTAACCACTCACATATGTGAAGTGTAACAAACAAAAACATGATAGCATTGTTCTGATTTCTGCAGAAACTTTAATTTATTGGCAACTAAATCTGTTATTGGGAAAAAAAAAAAAAAAAAAAGAGATAGAGATCAGAGACCATTTGGAAAATCACCATTTGAATGATTGAACAGCAAACTTCATACAACAGCTCCCACTATTTTGCATTATTGCTAATAGTGCCGTTTTAAATAAACAACCAGTAAAGAGATTATCCCACTGTAGTCAAGTAAGTGTAATTATTGAACAATCACTTCTTAAAGTAAATTGTTGTAAACTGCAAGTAACATCATTTAAGGCAATATACCTCGTTGCTAAAGGCATTACAAGTGTCCTCCTTTTAATGCTCTGGAGAATCAAACATAGTCCAAAACTTTCCTTTGTCTTCATTGTGAGAGCAGAAATCTTCCCCATCAATTTTTCCCTTACTGCTACTCGTGGCAAATGCCCCTGGACAACATTCAGCAAAGTACACACATGCCCTACGTTGCTTTTTCCTTTATACATTTCTGATATWTTTTTTTATGTATGTGCATAAGGAAAAGGAAACTGGTGGCAATTCATTGCTATCGTATTTTAAGTTTTCTCTCCTGTAAACGTTATGGCAGTATTGTAAACTTGCTCTCTGTAGAACATTTGCTTTCCTCATTATGTGGACTTACCTTTATTAGAGAAAATTGATTATTTATACATAACTCAATGATAGGATTTCATATTATTAAGGCTGAATGTAATGATAGACTCTGCTCACAACAGTTACCCCAATGCAGTGAGAAAGAGATTCCAAACTACCAGAACTGGAGAAAAATAAAATTAAATAATATTTTTTTCCAGCGAGTTATTGTACCTGGCTAATTTCTCCAGCCGTAATAAAAGCACAAATGTTCTTGTTAGTGGCTTGCACTAAACCGAGGTGTGCACGTGTGAAAATTATTTGGCTCTTTAAGCTCCTGTCTTTCGCTGTAGCCCGCGGTGTGGGGGCTCCGCGGATGCGCCGGGCTCCGCGCGGCCCCGCAGCCGCCCCCGGGGCTCCCGAGCCCGGTCCCACCTCGGCCGAGCCTGCCTGGGATAAGCCCGGGCCTAGGCCTCCCCCCGCCTCCCTCGCTCTTCGCCCGCGATATTTAGGGAGCCTGGAAAGGCACCTCCGAAATTTGCAATTCCTGGCCCAAGCGCCGGATCTCTAATTGGAAGTAAACAGGGTCAGGGGACGAAGTTACTTTGAAATTGATACATTGTTTAATTGACAAGGCGACAATTTTAGGTTTCGAGTTTGCATATTGCACCTTTGTAACATTTGTGTTTCTTTTTTTTTTTCCATTGTTTTTCTTTTTTATATTTTTTTTTCTTTTTATTTTCTTTTTTTCCCATTTATTTTCTTTTTTTCCCCATTTTTTTTTGGTGGAGAGAATACCTTGGTGGAGCAGCCCGGGCTCCCCAGAAGAGCTGGGGGCTTCTCCCGCGTGCTCCGCTCGCCCGTATTTACAACTCTCTGGATCCACGGCCGCAATCTGGGCGCCTCTAAACATCCCCATGTAAACATCAGCTCCGAACAACCCCAGGAAGCAGATTTTTCACGACCATCGTAATTTCAGCAGAGCGGATAACTATGCAATGCACCTTTTGCAATTGGCAGCTTCAAGTGATGTGTGTGAGCGCGGGTGTGTGCAGGGGGGAAGGGAAAGGCCACTGCAAGGCAGTCGTTCAGTCCTTCTAAATACRTTTGGCTGCAGGTATTCTTAGGCCGGGCCTTTTACAGGGAAACTACGCTGTGGATCTAGTAAACAGAGCCGAAATCAGCCAGCGGCTGCTTGGAATATTTGGAAACAGGAGGGAAGGAGGGGTGGGGAGATGGCATCACAAAAGGCAAGAATTAAAAAAAAAAAAAAAGACCAGGCCGTGGAGTGCCATCAGAAATGTTGACTTTGAGTCACACAGTAAACATTACATTGCAG